CTGAGTCGGGGAGAGGAACTCTTGGTTGTTCTCACTCATGTACATGTTGTCACCATCAAACTGCAGAAGAGAAGAAGAAGAGAAGATGAGTTTGATTGGTCAGATGGCTGAGATAAAGGACAGTCATTTGCATATCGGACAGAGCGGGAAAAGAGAAACAACAACAGTCAAAACCATCAGAGAGACACAGAAGATTGCAGCCTACACCCTACATCAGGTGTCCCTGCAGGGTTTAGCTCCAACTTGCCTCAATACACCTGCCTGGGTATTTCAAATATACCTAGTAAGACCTTGATTAGTTCGTTCAGGTGTGTTTGAATAGGGTTGGAGCTAAAATCTGCAGGACACTGGACCTCCAGAAAGTTTGGTGACCACTGCCCTACATAGACAGCACTCTAGGGCACTTCTAATGTTCCTCTTATTTTACTTGTTAAATCAACCCAAGCTCATTCTGGAAATGTGATTTACGTGGCTGGAGGTACGTATGGCCGCGTTTTGTTTTTTTATCGAGCGAACGCTGCATGGCGGTGTGACGCTGCTCCTTCTCTTCGTGCTCGCCTCCGTGTGGAGGGCTTTCCCGCTGCAACCAGTTCGTCCACTTAGCTCGCAGTGTTACGTCAGGGGAGCGGAGGCACGGAGGAGGAGGAGCCGGCCTCGGGTACGACCGGGATCGGGTCCGGAGAAGAGCAGTTCCAGAAATCAGGTAAGATGAAAAATATAATCCAAAAAATAAGGGCGAGAACGCGGCGAGATCCGAAAACGCGGTCAAAATTGGACAAGGGCTTTTGCTTGTTTTTTTCTGGACGGCTTTTGCAAATCGTCGCTTGGGTTTAGGGAAGGAGGAGGAAGAGGAGGGTGGCCGGGTCGGCCGATTGGCCGGCCGCCCAGTCGATCGTTCAGTCGTTCAGCCAGTCAGTCGGACAGACGGACGCTCCACAGCGGCCTCCGGAGGCTTTTCACCTTTTTCGGCCTCTTGCGGATCTGCAAAAACTGCTCGAATACGTACCTCCCGGGACATATTTCGCGGCCTGTAGAAACATCCGCAGGGCTACGTTTCCACAATGAGCCTGGGTTGGGTTTAATTGTACTGCAGAACTCTAAAACTGTATTATTAATATATTTATTTTATATATGAAATGTCATAAATGTGTTGATATACTGAAATCAATCAGAACAATCATTGATAATAATAATCCTGCACATCATTTTACAGAACATGTGAATTTAACATGGGTTAAGTGAGGTAACCGCTGGGTTAAAGTCAGGGTCAGGGGCGGGTTTAGGGTTAGCACCTAGTTATAACCCCGGTTATGTAATGACTATGAGCAGTACTGTAGACCGTATGAAGATGTGGAACAGCAGTGTAGAATAAAGAGCTGCAAAACCTACTTTCCTTGTTAAAGTTTCAAAATGAATCAAGAATATGCTCAAACCTTTGAACTGAAATGATTCAGATTAGATGCACAGAGAGTCTGAACAACAACAATCATTCAATCATTCATTCATTCACCTCCAGCTTAGTCCCTTTATTCACCAGGGGTCACCGCAGTGGAATGAACCGCCAACTATTCCAGGATATGTTTTACACAGTGGATGCCCTTCTGACTGCAATCCAGTAAACACCCATACACACTCATACACTACAGCCAATTTAGTTCATCAATTCCCCTATAGCACATGTGTTTGGACTGTGGGGGAAACCGAAGCACCTGGAGGAAACCCAACTGACCCAGCTGACCCACAGCTGACCCACTCACACACACACGCAAATACACACACACACACACACACACACACACACACACACACACACACACACACACACACACACACGCACGCACACGCACACACACACACGCATACACACACA